TATTAAATTTCTTTGTATATATTTTGGGTTTTTATATAGCGGTTTTTGTGTTTTTTTTTTAACAAAAAGGAAATCACTGTATCCAATAGACGTCAACACATTGTAAGTGCATGGAATGACAACGCGAACGAGGATTAGGCGACAAAGCGTTTAAATGGCGTTAAGGTGCAATTTTTTTCTTTAACAAAAGAAAATACTATTAAAATTAATTTAAAAAATTGTAAAATACTGCATACCACAAATTTAATCAAATATTCTAAAATTACCACAATCAGTGTTTTGCGGCATACAATTTCTCAAGATTACAAGTATTTGAGCGGCATAAAACCTACCTGGTATGTCGTGGAATCATCAAAAACTTGACTTATGCGCGTCATCTGTACAGCACTGTTAATGACGATAACATAGAAAAAGTTAAGTAAACAGTGCTTGAAAATCGTCTTGTCATCATCAGAGTGATAGTAGAAGAAATCAAAATCTCTTATGGATCTACTCAACACATTTTGGTTAAGGTTTTCTATATGAATCGTGTCAATGCTAGACTCCCATCAAATGACCTGAATCTCTTGCCAAACTGATTGATTAGAGCCGAAACCGAAAACAACAAAATTCGCTGAAGACTGACTTTTAGTGTCCCAGCCGAGGGTTATAGCAAGTGTATGGGATAATAATGAGATTAGGCGTAGGCATGCTTATATTAATTCAGAAGCCTATGTTGAAGGTAATAATAAAGATTTTTACTAAAATACGTGAAAATGTAATTTCTTTATCAGTTTATGTCAATTTTGACCAGATTTATAATATTATAATATATCTTGTGTAGTTTTTAAAATTAAACTTTAAACAGTTTTTGAATGAGTCTATTAATATCATAGTTAAACAATTTCTCTTGTCTTGACACTAATTTACGTAGTACTGCAATTCTCAAGCACTCAAATTTAACTAAAGGTCTTTAAAAGTAAAACCTGTAGCTTACCTTATACCGATACTCCTTCAAGACAGATGTCTAACCACAAAGAAGCTTACATTTCATACCGATCTAAATATATATTAGTGGTACATATGTATATGCTGAGGAGCAACTATGGCACATAACTGCATACCTAATACATTCTAAGCTACAGAGAGAAATGGAAAATTCCACAGAGACAGTGATTTACTTGCAACTTCTTGCTATCGTTTTGTCTCACTGAGCTCATATGTGTGAGTGTACGTATGCAAGTATATATATAAGGGCGGTAGTTAAAGATTTATAGCTGCTAGAGATTTGAGCCACTTCTTTTACAGATTATATAGCTTGTAATTTTACATCTTCGAATACAACTGTAGAAATGTTGGATCATAAGATAAAAAATAATTATAATGACTTCCATTTCAAATCTTGTTTTAATCGTTATAGAAAAGCGTATTAAGTTCTCGTTCTACGCGTCTTAAGCATATGAAATAAGGACTAAAATTTGCATATGGTATCTTCAACTGTGGATAGTGTCGAAGTAGTTTAAGAAATTTAATGTCTATATTTACGGTTCACCCTAAAATTTACTCGTGGTATCAGTGAACTTATGCAGATATGAAAACTTATAAACCTTTGTATTTGTATTTCTCTAGCGTTATTGTTACTGCGAAACTTTCAGATGCTTTAAGCACATATTTCTATACCCAAGGCACAAACACAGGCACGCTTACAAATACATTTGCATATTCATACGTTTGCCTGTGGTTTTTGAAGAATTCAAATGTTAGCAAATCAACTTGAAAACAATTAAATTTTTAGTCAATCAATGTATGATATGAATAGCTAAAAGTTCTGTGCACATTAACAACATATGCGTGAATGTATATTCGTGGCTAATAGTAGATTTAACTCTGCATTTCTATAACAAATGTGAACTGGTGTGTGACGTATATGTGCACACAAGCTTCGGAAAAAGCTTTGTGATAAATACTTGTAAAATTGAAATATGATTTCATAAGGACACGGAAATTCCATTTCGAAATCGATTACAACCACTGAGCAGTGTGTTTACCAGCTTTACAGTTGAGTTGGAAAAATACTTTATTTATTTCGTTTGCTCTTATATACCTATTTAGTGGCAGCTACTCAGCATAACTGCTCAACAACTATATAAATATTTTGTTGTTTTTGGTTAAAAATAAAATTTCCAAACATATAAAAATTGTTTTCGTTCGATCTAAAAAAATCTACTCTAATTTCATTTCAAGGAAAAGTGACAGGTAATAAATAACTGAAGATTTAAAAATGTATGAGTATTTAAAGAATTTCGTGCGGTTTTGTAAATATTTGTACGATTATAAACCAGTTCTTTTATATTTTATTACTTTATTTAAATCCTTTAAGGAAAGCCCATAACTTCTAATCGATAGCGAGTGCCTAGAAAAACTATTGAGAGCAATAAATTAAGAAGTGATAATCAACACTAAATTTCTTTAACGCTATTTTTCAGTAAAAAAAAAAATATATATATATATATATATTACTAAAGGCTTTTAATTGACTCTCAATATGAATGAATATTTATTCTTTTAATAATTCGTGAACTATTTCGGCTCGAACTTCACTGCTGAAGAGTGCACTTGGATCACCAACCGAAGAGTTCGTTAAGCTTCTAAGCAAAGCTTTAGCGAATTTTTCAGCAATGGTTCGAGCGAATACGGTCGTTTTTGTGTAATATTTATTTTATGTGCTATATAGCCAATATGAAGATATATTAAAAAATATTAAATAATATATTGAGCCTGAAAAGCTTCTCTCTATTCATAAATACCTTACCTGAAATACATATATCTTTTCTACTGTTCGCGCAACTGCTATATAGTATACTTAACACACAACCTTTAGCTTAGGGTCTTTATTCAGATACTCTTCGTAAATTCTTCCTATTATTATTGTTGTAAAGGTCATAAAATATAATTTTTAGAAATAATGCTATAGTACTCTTAGTGAAATATAACTGCGGAAACTGTTAAGTTATATTGTGAATGGACTAAACTTCGGAATCGACTATTTTAAAAAGGCTTCTACAGGGTACTGTGGTTCTATGTACTCGTGCTGTCAATAAGAAACTAAAAACCAGGTTCTTAGTCTTTATAAAACGTGTTGCTCTTGAGCTTTACATAAAGAAAGGTTTTTACCGAAAAAATTAGCAGAAATTTGCTTATAGCGAAAGGTTGAAATACTAACAAAAAAATTGGTCTTAGTTTTCTATATAAGGCCACTGTGCATCTATAGTAAAAATTTCAATTGGATGAACGTGATAACATCCCAGTACCATCGGTGCTCGATTGGAAAAATGCAGTTTCGGGAAAAACCCGTTTAGAGTTGTGTATGCTCAATGGTCCGAACGCTTCGTCAATACAGTGGTTTGGACATGGAAAAAATATATTTTTTCACTACTCTATCAATTTACTAACTATTTTATAACACTAAAATGCTCTAACCTAAAAATTCAATTTTATTGTAAATCTTAAACTGGCTTAAATCCTTAAGTAGCAACTAATTTAAGGACAGGTGTGTGTAATTTGACTCCACCCGTCAACCCGGATTATAGCATTAGCTTTTGCTGTAAATGTTGTCTGCTTTAAATATAAATTATGCAGCATATCGATACACTGACACACACACACACACATAAATAATACACATAAAACAATGACGATCTGCTGATTTCACAAAGCGATTGCGAATAATTATTTCCAGGCGTTCGCCTCACAATGGACATCAATGTGTTTTTGATGAACACAGTAGCCATGGCGGCACAATTGGAGCTGCAAGGTATTTGCTGAAAGCAAATCAACTATGAATACAACAACAATGAGGATTAAATTTACACGTATATACACTAAAACATAGACTCACACATACTCCCACAGAAAAGCTCAGCGGCGCATAAATGTAGTTTATAAGCAGTCAGTTAGTGATTTACGATTTTCATTTGAAATTTAAATTAACATAATGGTCGGCTGCAGACGCTTGAAGACAACACAATACATATTTTTGCATTAGCGTCGAGCGGAGGCAACCAGCAAATAACGGTGTGTACCCTACGCAACCAGCAGTCATCAAGGGTACTCATCAGCACGTCGACAGCCGGCAGCTTGTTGAGTGATGCCAGTGGCGTCACAGACAGGCGGTATAGGAAAGAGCGTGCGAACAGGTGAGCGGGTAGCGAAAGGGGTGGGGTGGTGGACTTTATTACTAAGCTTTGTGTGTTATTGTGTGCGTGTGTGTGTGTGTGTGAGAAAATTTGCTGCGCGGCGGTAGTTTTATGCATAGGTAATTAAGTAGCCGAAGATGAAGGCACAAATTCATTGCGGGACGTGCATATATACATATAAAGTATATAATCTATATACATATATATATGTGTGTGTGCGTATCATTGTATAAGCACTGGCTCAACAAGAATGCTGAAAGTTGCCTAAAATCTAAAATGTTCTGCTTGCTGTAACGAAATTTCGTGGCTGATGTTGATGGATGTTTATTTTCGGCACAGCTGTGTTGACAATAACAAAACAAAGTATAACATAAAAGCAAAGAAATGCGCGGCGAAAGCACGCTGAAGTTGAGGTGAATTTTCCGAATTTCCCACAGACGAAATTCACTATATTTAAATGCGTTTTTTTGCTAACGATCCTTGCCGCAGGCACTGGAGAAAAAAGCGCGAAAAATAATTTACTAACACACACACCAACAAACAGCAATAATTCACAATTCGCGCAAAGACACACACACTCACACTTAAACCACTTATGTTTGTATGTGTATTTGTGTGAGCATGGCAACTTGCAGTATTTTATGTAGTCGTCAACAACTGCCTAAGCTGTTGCGGATTTGCATACGTAAAACACGACAAAGTGACTGTAGTGCGGCAACGTGCAATATTTTCACTTTCTTTTATTGTATTGTAAGTTTTTATTTTTCGCTTTTGCTTTGGTGGCAAGAAAAGGCTCAGTGTAGCAGCGCTTTAGCGCAGACTTACCCGTACTTGTTGCTTATTCGGCTGTTGAAGGTGCCTGCTTTCCAACTGTGGGCGTGTTGCAGATAAATACAGATAAATTTATTTGCTGTTATTTCATTTACATTTAGCACTTGTTTGTTTTTGTTGTTTGTTGCGCTTGTAATTTTACTTTTATTTATTTATATTTCCTCTTTGTAAACAGTTAATGTAATTTACAGTAACAGCTGTCAATCGACATTACAGACACGCTACAAATTATAATTGAGTTTTATACGCGTTCGTTTTTGTATGTGTGTGTTTTTGTACGCGTGTGTATTTCACAGATGTGTATCAATATATCGGCTCTTGTATCACTTCAACACTACGCTTTTGTCATTTTTACACATTTTAAATTAATTTATGCACATACAAATTTTGTAAGATAATTTTTATTTCCGGCAGGAATTTGTTTAGTGAAGGTTTTGTTTTGCCTTTCAGTTTATATTAAATGCTTTTCCTTTATTAGAATTGTGAATTTTCTGCAAAGGTAGAAGTATTTCAATTAAAATTCCATTGAGATATTTATAATTATTTATTAGTGCATAAAACCTTAATTTATATTCTAGAATTCATAATTTTTTTGACAGCCTCAGTAAAAGTTTTATCTTTACTAAATTTATTGTATATGATTTTCATCCTTTTATTGCGTATAGTTCGTAATTCAGTTAGTCAGTATATGCAAATTCTGCAGCAGAATTAAAAAGAACAAAAAATTATAAATAAACATTTTTTTTTTTAAAAACTGTAAGAAATTTTACTTCATTTAAATGTAAGGGCTTTGTATGATTGCTTAGATTCAGTATGTGCTTAAAATTGTTCTAAATTGTTAAAAAGAAGATTTTCAACTGGATATGAAGTTATGAAATATTTGTTCGATAAAAAATAGTAAAAAGTAAAAACGCCGAACATACTAGAAAGAGCACTTCTGTTTTGGGTTGGCATACATTTTTATGAAATGAAACATTAAAGCTCATCATATTTGAGCCATATGCCATAATTGCTGATATTGGAGTGTGTTGCTAAATAGAAGAAAATATTAAATAAATAATTAAGCAAAAATTTTCATTTATAATGAACCAACATAGCTGGGTAGGTAGGTTGGATGTCTGACGATGCACCTAGACCTTTAGGAAAACCACTGTGACACTACCGGTATAAAAAGACTCCATATTTATAATCAAGTGTATAAGTACGTTTTAACGTCCATATGCAAATACTTTTGTGAAGCGGGTCTTATTAAATAAAAACCAGAAATAATTAAATCATAAAAGTATTCTGAATATTACTGCGAATTTATTTTATAACATTATAATATATATTTTTTTTAACCACTTGTTGGTTTCAGCTCTTAGCACGATCACATTCGCACACACAAATTAACAAACCCATGGCTTTATAACTCATTTTATGAAATAACAAATATTAAAAATGTCAATATTACTATTCTATGATGCATAAAAAAATGAAACATCTAAATTGTGCTTCGACTTTAATGAAATATTTTGCCTTAAAATGTTGTATGAAATTTCTAGAAAACTCATATCAAATTTGAAAAGTTTGTGGATATCTTTAAATCGACTTTAAATTTACAAACTTCATTCAAATAAAATGAATTGATGCTGATAACAATTAAAATCTCCTACTTATATTTTTTGGTATATGGTAAACAAAAAAAAATGCATGATTAGGTTGAATAAAACTGCCTGCTATTGTAACGTCAAACCCGAAACACTTTCAAATATTGAATAAACTTTGTGATTTTTTTTCAATTTACTCAAAACTGAGCGCTCAGAAATTGAAATTGTAGCATATAAATAGGCGCACAACCATCAAAACTGTCTTTGACGTCTGACTTTTTAATTGTTATGTTTAATTTGTAACACAGGTAAACACCAGAAGTATGGAAACTGAGCTCAAAAATTAAAAAAAAAAATATCAGTACTTTTTTAACGCAAGTGTTGTTCTTTATTTTAAAATATTTTAAATAATAAAATTTTAGAATCTTTAGTTAAATATTTTAAATTAATGCAACATAATCTAAGCACAGAATATACACATTTGGTTATAGTCGGGTTAAAATATAATGTTTCGAAATTCTATAATTTTATTTAATTTTTAAGATTAAATTTCCTTATAGAGTCTAAATACATATATTAAATCTACTATCTCCGCTTCCACATAGTTTTTAAATCTTTCTGAAAAATCAAAAATTTTAGCAATTTATAGCAATTTGAAAAAAAAATAAATAAAACGAAATTGTATGTCTTCACAGCTGCTGTTGCGAATTTTTGTGTATATTTTTCAGCACTCGCATTTAAAAGCACAACACTTCACAGCTTCGGACGAACAATCAAAACTTGTTGCATTGCAGCCAGGCTAAATTCGTTGCACGCACACTCACGCAAGTGCCACCTCGCAATGTTTATACGTACGTATACGTATGCTTGTCATGCCTGCAAGCCGCGAAATACATCGTAGTCTAATTTGCATTTTAAACCTTCATTTAATGTGTATTTAAGACTTTTTTTTATTTTCGCTTAAAATAACAATAATTTAACACTTTGACACAGTTTTAGTGAATTCGTCTTTTTTCGCCCGATTGAACCCAAATACATACACATAAATGCGTTCGCATACGTTCAGCGCATCACACAATTACTGGGTGAACAATATAGAAAATCGTCAAACGTTAAAAACGAGAGGAGCAACACGTTGCTAACACACAGACCGCCCAACGAAGACTGAGCGCACGACAACAACTGTCACAGCAGAATAGTAGCACACGCGCCGCCACAATCAGAGTCGCAGCCGCAGCGCTGGGGGGCCGAACGCACGAGCTAACGAGGGTGGTGAGTGGTGGTGACGATTTTAGTTTGCTCGAAACAGGCCAAACACCAATACAATGAAGCAGCACACAGCGCAGGCAAACCAAGTCCAAGCGACTTCAATTGGAACATCAACACACTGTGTCTGTGCCTGCAATAGCGGCGCTTTTTAGCCGACGTTCGTTCGTTTGATACTCGCAATGCGCTCTGTTTACGAATCTGCTACATGTATGTTTATGCTTGTGTTTTGGTGGTAACTTTCTCTCATTTCCGTTCTGGTTTTCATACGATTCCTCAGTATTTCATTTCAAATTTGTTTCGCTACGCTTTCGGACTTGTGGCTCTCACGTGCACGAATAGCTTTCTATCCGGGCTATCTGTTCGCTGGCTAGCGCAAAATAATGCCAATGCCCTGGTGAGTGTTGGTTGGCGCGTAGTTGTGTGCTCTCGCATGTCCTGTGTCAGCGTGTGAGCAGCAGCGAGTGGCAACCACTCAGTGAGTGTTTCAAACCTATTTCGTTTCATGTGACGGCAAAGCGGAAGTCAGGTGCAAATGTTACTTGTGGTAAAGAAATTGGAAACAAAGTTTCGTTAAGTTTGTTAAAATTTATATATAATGCACTCAATAATAATAATAACTACAACGTAATTAAAATTTGCTATAATAAATCACATCAGTTAAATAATAAGAAATCAGAATTTCTGAAGAAGACTTTTTTTAAATAAGAAATAATAATAATTTGCTTAGATTTGAAAGAATATAATGTAGCAACAGGTATGTTCAACAACGTAATGATATCTTAGTTTGGAATCATACGTGTATATATAATTTAGCGATATTTTTTCAACGAATTATAAAACCATCTTCATTACGAACCAAAACTTCGGGCAAAGGAAAGAAAATAAATATATCAGAGTTTCTTGATGTCATACTGATATAAAATCGCATTTGGATATATATGTACCAACAATTCATGAAACTATCGATGATTTTGTAAGATTTTCTCTTGTTTATTTTTAAATCTTTATTTCCATTTTACACTATAAAAATCAGAAAACATGGAAGCAAATATTATATTTACAAATTAAGTCAGTTTTTTTTTTTTTAAATAGGAATACATTGAAGTAAACAGTGTGAAAAACTGTGAAAACATGTGTTATATTTCAATGAAACTCCTTTAATGAGCTTTTATATCATAATTTTCCAGGTGGTAATATCTTTTTGCTCACAAAGACCTTGATACCATACTTCCATCACTTTTAGTTGTGCCGCTTTTCTGTTCCTCGCTATAATTTCCAAAATTATCTGAAAACTTATCCAAACGGTTATGCAGATAGTCTAACTTGATTTTTACATTTGCTCCAAGAGTTTGAAAGTTTGCCAACAAATTCTGCACAATTTCTTCATAATTTGGTACTTAATGTTTACCTGGGAGATTTTCGACTATCAATACAAAACGTTTCCACTATTCGCTTTCCAGAACACTCATAACTTTAATAAGATATGTATCTTTCACTAATATCACATATTCCACCTTTCAGCTTTTGCATACTAAGTTCGGAAATTGTCACTTAAATAATGTCCTTCCACGTCCAACGCTTTGACCATTTTTTTTATCATTCCTAACGTGATCATGTATTAAAATACTGACTTCCTTTTGAGCATATAACTTTGGTGTTGGCGTTTTACCCTCTTATTCACAGCCATTTACAGACCGTTCCGTTATGATATTTGGCGCCATCATTGTTTCTGAGTAGTCCATGCAAATTATTTTTGAAAGAAAAACGAAATTTTTACTAAGTAAAACAGTACATTTTGTAGGCTGTAAGTCTGTCTACGTTTGATGTTTCGTAAAACCTCAAAACTTTCCGTACATTTTTGGTAAAGAGCCTGAGAGTGGAGTCACTAACAAGCCGATAATTATCCTAAGCCTGAGAGTGGAGATCACGCATATGCAATTAGCTTAAAAACAAGAGCACATTCAATTTTTTTATGAATAAGGTCGAAATCTGATCTAAAATTTTATTTTTGTAGAGCTCTTATATCCGTTGGCAAAATAGCTAAATATCTATGCCTCGTTTTTTTATAGATCTAAAATAGGACAGCTGGCGGTCTTACATGTAAAATTTAGTTTTGACAGTTGTTGGAATATTAATGAATTATAAAATGAATGAATTTAAGAATATTTGCCACCGACATATATTATGATTCTAGAAAAGCAGTCAACAGTTGGTGAGTTGGTTTAATCCAAATTGTATGAATATTTATTTTTCAAAAACGTTGATAGATACTTTAACTACTTTTCCAAACCGCTCAGCGCTATAGAATATCATAAAAAATGTATCTATTTCTAGAACTTTTATGTAATAAATTTAGAAATAAATCTTTCTTTAGCGACATTTAACAAAAATACTTCATTTTGTTTCGAATCCCAATTAAAATATGAAAACAAGCCAATTGTAAACTTTACCTGTATCAAAACTAGGTTAAATCAACATGGAATAACCATGCTCGTGAATTTACCAAAAAGCTAATTCTACAGGTTTAGCTTTTGCGGTAATTTTATTAAAAATATTGGTACACATGTAGAGTTTGGAAAGAAAAGGTTATTTGAATTTAAAACTCTGACAGAGCGCAACTCTGCTCAAAAAATCTTAGCCAAAATAATGTTTAGCTTATGGAAGTTTCAGTCAGAATTTTTTTGAAATACAAGTACAGCTATAAATTTAAGATTTTAGGAATTTCAATTCGTCTCTTCTCTGGTCCTTATTTTTTAGGCGTGAAAAATTGTAAGTCGAAAAGCAACAAAAAAGTCAGCGCAAATGTTGCCGGTCTGTTTGAGCAACTGGTATAGTAAGGTTTGTGCGATTTACTACTCTGTTAGGTTTGGCGAATCTAAGAGAGCTATATAAATTTATGTCTTAGCAAGAATGTCGGCTACCAATTATTGTAATGCGGAAAAGGTAAGACAATTTCAGTTACCAATTATTGCTATGTGCAAAAGGTATGATAATTATGTTGTTTGAAGCCAGATATAAGAGGCGCTCAATACTTAATCGGTATTTTACATATACTTACTTATAAATACACCCTCTTTCATATGTAATTAAATATCTTCAAGAAATTATTATACACTCAAAATATTGCCTCAGCAATTACAGAGATCATGTACCGAAATGGTTTAACAGCGCAATGTTAACGAAATATTTCTGCACAAATTACTGCTAACAGCTGCTCGGCAAATAACAGTAACTTAGCAGCGCTGTTATTCATTAATAACATGGCACTCTCAGCTGTATTCCATTAACATTTGATTTACAGATTTAGTGGACTCAGACATACAAACATACACATATACATATGTATTTACTTTCTGAACTCTTATGCAACGTTTGTTTTTATTGTTATATGCTGTCTTGGTGTTGTTGATCTGGTTGAGTCATACATGCATACATACATACAAATTTAGTAGTTGTTGTTCTTGTTATTGCTTCCACTGTTTGCTTATGTTTGTTTATTTTACTCTATTCGCGCAATTTGTGTTTTATTTTTGGGAACATCAAATACTGTTAAAGCAATCGCTCACTGTTGCTGTTATCCCGCTGTATGCTCTCTCTTGCTACTGCTGCTGTTGCTGTTGTAATCGCTAGACGGTGTTCTATTTTTAACTGGCGTGTGCCATCGACGCATGAACTGCTACAAACGCACGCAGGCAGGCAGGCACTTATGCATATTTATATATATGTATGTGTGTGTGTGTGACTACGTTTATATGGTTGTGTGTGCATATCAATATAATAACACAAGTGTTGTATTGTTGTTCTTTTTGCTGTTGCTATCGTTCGTCGTGCATGTTTGCACGTTGTTAGTGCTGCGCTCTGTAGGTGGAGTCAGCAGCAACTGCTGGTCATACAATAAACCTCGTGTAGTATGTAAGTATGTAACACTATGTGTGTGTTTGTGCTCGCACGCACTTGCTGCTGTTACATTTCCGGCTCGTTGCACTTGTTTTTCCTGCTTCACTATGTGCGTGTGTGTGTTTTATGTTGTTGCTGTAGCAATTGTTGCTTCAACTGCCAATGATGACTTACATTTACACTGTATCCCCCTCTTACCTTTCGCCGCTGTTTGTTATTATTGTAGCTGTTGCTGTTGTTGTTATTATTGTAGCTGTTGCTTTTACTGATATTTTCTGGCATTCGTTGCAACATTTACTTTTCACAATGTTTTTCAGTCCTTTGTTGAGAGCGTATAGGTTTTTGGTGTGTCGCTTTTGTTATTTTTGTTTTTGCATTCACAGCATATGTAAACAATGTTCTTCATCGTGCATTATTATTGCATTTCTGTTTACATATTCTTGTTTCTATCAATATTTTCAATGCATACGTAAGCTGTTGCATTCCAATTGCTGTGATTTTAAGTGGGAAATGTTATTATTTCGCTGTCTATCAGCCATCCCTAGTTCGTTCTATGGGTGTGCATTTCAGTGCGTTGCTGTTTTTATTGTGTTCACTTTTTACAAATTTTTTTCCTCATGTTTGTAAAACATTTTTTTGTTTAATTTGTTCTTAATAAAGCTGTTAATATATGCTGTGTATATATTATTTTTTCAGTGTACTGCCAAATCTGTAAAAATTATATTTTTGCATAAAGCATTTTGCTTTCGCTATTTAAAAGTTTTTGGGGACTACTTTTTGTCTTCTTTGCCTTGAGTGGCGAGTTTTTAGCGCGTAAAATGCTATCAACAGGTCACTTGCTAATTTTTGAGGCAGTAAAAACATGACTGTGATAAACAGTTATAGGCCAAATAAAATAATACAGCTTCAAACAAAATTGTCATATTTTACAGAATGAAAATATAACTGTTTTCCGACGCCAGCATAAAATTTTCCAGTTTCAGATTTTAGTGCAGCGACTAATTGACTTTAGAAGTATTTACTTTTACTTAGGTTATGTTGAATAAATTTGTATAGCGGGTCAGAGTGTCAAATTTTATAAAAATACACTCGACTTAGCCATCTATTTATTCTAGG